CCCATGTTACATAGCATTGTGCATGCCATGTTATGTGTGAGGGCAAATTTGTAATAAGTGTGTGTGCGTGTGTGCATGTCTTTCAACCTCCACTTCTTTCTTCCCTTTTATTTACCTGCTTATGATGGTAGATTAGGGCACATTTATTTTAGCATGCCTTATGCTATGCATGCGTGCATTCATGCATTTGTTGACATGCACCGGGCTCGGTACATCATACAAACTACATTGTACTTTTCAATTCCAAATTGAATACATGTTAGCTGTAGCATTTCATATGCCATGTTTAGAATAGCCGAGCCTGCTATAGTTGCACTTTTGCATGTGTTGCATTAGGTATTTCTGTATAATTAGGATCATGCATGGATTTCTAATAAGCTTCTGTTTTGGCTTGGAGTACTCGGTAAGTTTTATGCTTTAGCATCCTTCCATCCGTGTGAGTGACTGCCATGAATAGCATGCTTACCATGAGGCTATATGCTTATGTGATATAACTGCCTGAATGCTTGTGGGTGAAGGTTGGGTTATTTGGATTGGAACAATTCGTTGACTATGAGTTTTTTTTTTTTTTAAGCCCACTAGATAGTGGCAAAATCATCTTTTCTAAAAGCCCACTTGAGGGTGGCAAAATCTGCATTTTAGCCTACTTGCGAGTAGCAAACCATTTTCAAAACAAACATGAAATGTTTTGTTCCAATTTGGGCGATTTGGTTTATACTTGTTTGCTGCGCGCATAACGTAGTAATTCTAGGCTAATAATTGGTTTAAGAACACATAGCGTTTTCAAAATTGGATATCACGGTTAGTAGAGGCCGGTCTTCAGACCGGGCGAGAGGGGGTGCTCATAGCTGACCTTCCCCGATCGTACCCAAGCTCCCGAGCCGAGACAACTCCGGTGATGACGGACATGTGGCCTTCGGCACCGAGTCAGGGTTTCCTAAATTCTCCCATTTTAAAATATTTAGGTGGCGACTCTGTATCTGGCAAAGCAGTCCATGTTTGGCACTACTTTTTCAAAAATCTGTTTCTCAAAACGATTTGCCAGATTTGGACTCTTTGGTTCAGATTAAGAACCGCGACAACAAAAATCGCGAGTCCGAACTGTAGCAGCGAGGTCCCCCCTCCGCGGGCTTGTTACAGCAGTGCTACCCAAGAAGTTCAAAGCACCGTCGTTCACCCTGTACGATGGAAAATCGGACCCCACTGATCATATTCGTCATTATAAATAGGCGATGACACTGCATGTTGACGATGAAGCCCTCATGTGTCGAATGTTTCCGAGTAGTCTGGGACCACTGGCTGTCAGATGGTACTATAAACTGGAACCGGCATCGATTAAAAGCTTCTATTAACTCCAAAAGTCCTTTAGGGCAAGATTCATCACCAATGAAATCCAGCTAAAGCAAGCTGATTCTCTCTAGGCAATGCAAATTAAACCAGAAGAAACCCTTCGTGAATATTCGGCACGCTATTGGGAATGCTTTAACCTGGTAGACGATGCCTGCAATGACTCCATGGCCATCATCGCCTTTAAGATGGGATTACATCCTGATAGTCCCCTCCACAGTTCGTTGACCAGACGACCCCCCCAAAACAGTCTGGGCGTTAATGAAAAAAGTTGAAGAATATTGCAAAATGAAAGACGATGCCTTGCAGGTCAAAGTTGAACAGAAAGCCGTTAAGACGGCTTCGCCTGGAATTGTTTAGCCGATAAGCGTTGTGCTATCAAGGAGCCCCGAACCACAGAATCCGTCTAAACGAGACAAAAGGCATGACTCACACCGATCAAATGATCAATGTTCACACCGATCGAATGAACAATATCAAGTGGATAGCAGGTGCACAAGACACTCGGACAAAAAGTAAACGGAGTTAGCAGACCCGGTCAGCAATATTTTTTCAAAAGTTCAACACTTTCCGTTCTTTAAATGGCTGTCCAAAATGATTGGACCTCTTGATACTAAGAGAAGGGACAAACGGTATGAATACCACAAGGACCATGGTCATGACACCGACAATTGTTATGCACTGAAAGACCACTTGGAGGAACTGGTACAAGACGGCCGGCTGGCGCAACACATCCGAAAGAATAATCCATCGAACGCGGTAGCCATACGGCCAGATTCATCTCCACTTGGTGTAATTCACATGATATACAACCTGCCGTCATCAACCGAGATACAGACAATTTAGTTACAACCTAGCCTCCATAGGCTGATCACACCAGCAAAATGACCCCATGAAACTGGGAGGATCAGTTTTGACGACACCGATTTAGTTGGAGTAACTCTTCCGCACGCCGATCCCCTCGTCATTGAGCTACGCGTCAACAGATTGACCATTGAACGTGTTCTCATCGATTAGGGAAGCACTTTGGAAATAATATATTATAAGACGTTCGTTAAACTCGACTTCATGGACTCGGATTTGTTGCTGGCCGATTACCCATTATTCGGCTTCAACGCTAACCCTGAGTATCCATTGGGCAGGATCACATTACTAGTTTGGGCGGACACCAGATCAGTTGATGTAGAATTTCTGGTCGTCAAACTTCCTTCACCATACAATCTCATCATGGGAAGAACTTGGTTGCATACAATGCAAGCTGTTCCGAGCACCTACCATCAATTACCTCGTTTTCTGACCGAGTATGGCATTAAACAAATTCGGGGTTCTTAGAAATCAGTACATGCATGCTACCTTGTTGCTGCTGCAAAGTGACTAAAGGAAATGGAAGTGAATTCAATTGAAGTACCAGATCGGGAGAGTCTCGAGGATATTGGGAAGATTCCCAGTGAAAAGGCAATTGAAGATTTGGATCGGATCGAAATTAATGGGAGTCCTAACAAGTTCTTCATGATCGGAACTTCCCTAACCGAAGTTGACAAGCACGAGCATGTATCTTTCTTACTCGGCAACCTCGACATGTTTGCGTGGACGCCACACGAGATACCGGGGGTGGATCCATCTGTGGCCCAACATTGCTTAAACATTGATCCAAAATGTAAACCAATCATTCAGAAAAGTCGCGAGTCAGCCGCGGAGCATGCTTCTGCCGTTGTTGAAGACGTTGACTGATTGCTTGATGCCGGGGAAACTCGCGAGTTGCCTACCCTACATGGTTATCCAATACGGTGGTCATAAAGAAGAAGAATGGATCTTGGCATGTTTGTGTGGATTTCATGGATTTAAACAAATATTGTCCCAAGGATTGTTTTCCTCTCCCCAGAATAGACTAACTCGTAGATGCAACGGCGCATCATCAACGCATGAGCTTTTTGGATCCCTACAGAGGCTA